CACCAAATAACATCTCAAGTAACACTGAAGGTTTTGGCAACGGATTTATATCGGATCTGTAAGTAAAAAAATATCCTTATATACCCTAGTAAATTTTAATTTTAATTAATTTTAATTTATTTTTATTCAATTTTATTTATTTTTATTTTTAATTTTATTTTAGATGTAAATGAAAATCACGCATTTTTAGAAAAATGTCAGTAAAACGTTTTTCAAACAGATATATCGATCTCTTGCATGTGACGTCAAGCAGCCTCATCTGGAGGACAAAACAAAAGATTTTCTTGGAAGCTAGAACCATTGCTTTGTCCTCCAGTTAGAGCTGCTGATTCCCATGAACTGCAAGGACTCTATATTTTGTAAATATCTGATGATGTACCTTTTAAGTGAATAAAAATAGAAAATAGAAAAAAAAACTCTATAGATTGGGATAGATTGATTGATAATTAAAAGTAAAGAGGAAACTTTGATATGAAATCAGAAAGGCGAAACTTTTGGCTAACAAACTAAAGACACTGTTAATTTTTTTCTGGCTTCCATACCTTGCATCCTGTAGGTACTGCAGAAGTGTTCCTTTGTCAGCATATTCGGTGATGATATGGTACGGCTTGGTACATGTGTCGAATGCAAACACCCTGAGAATATTGGGGTGAGGACTCACGTTCAGTCTTCTCAAGAAATAGGCTTCTTTAATTAGATCCTTGTAAGATTTGCTAGGGTCATTCTCAATACCTCTCTGGTCATCTGAGAATAAAATCAATAATACCTCATTTTTTTATTCAAAGCTCTTAATTCGACAACAGACAAGTTCTCTTGCGCAAAGATTTTACTGATAGCAAAAGAAAGCATGAAAAATGATGTTTCCGAGATTAGCTAACCCTGTATATCCAGGAGGCTTAAACATTAGTTCTTTTGGGAATACATTACTAGTCTCCTCAATTTCGCGCTTTCCTTTCGTAAATGGAATATTGACGATTATGGTAACTAGTAAATGTTATTATGCAGGGGCGTAGCCACCGGTCCGGTTGGTCCGGTTTCAACCGAACCAACTTTTGAAGTTGATAAAGAAAAAAAAACCAAAAAGAAAACAGTGATCGAATATACGTGTAACGTTATTTTTTCTTCATGGCTTTGATTCGGCGCGTCGGAAATATAGTGCCGGCTTTCGATTCGACTAAAATGGCTCTAAGATCTTCGCAAATTTGGAGCAGCTTCTATATAAATTATGCCAAGGATAGTATAGTACTTCAAAGAAGGGCTTGAAAGCGATTGTACTGTTGCTTACGATGATTCGACAAGAAAGCATTTCAAACAATTGTATTTCTCTGTTCACGGCAAAGAAAACTTAACACACGGAAAACGTTAAGAATGCACTTCTTAGTTGATCGTCATCTCGAAGAGGTATTATAGACTAAGTTTGCAAGTTATGTCGCCTAGTGAATGTTCTGCCATGAAAAAATGAACAATGAAAAAGTCTGAGCGATCGCTTAGTGCAATGAGGCTAGGCGCGAAGCGTCCTTTACGCATAAATGCACGTGCGTACTAGTGACTGTCGCAAGGAAATATTAAGCTTTCACAAGAATTACTGAAAAAATCACATAAAATTGATCCCTTTTATATGCCCTCTCAAAACTCCCTTTTATATGTCTCTCAAAACGCTGGAAATCGCATTTGCAAGAGTTATTACTGATTTCAAACAAGGAGCGCGTCCTGCAGCGGTTTCCCAGGCTACAGTCGAAAAATCAGCTACTGGGAACGATGATGATAATGATAATGATGATGATGTTAATGTTACTGAAAAGTTAGATCCACCAAGACTAATGAGAGGCAAAAAAGATATCTTTGTAGGCACCCTCAATGTGCAAACACTCCAGAAACTCGAGAAAATTCCTGAAACGATCGCTTCTGCTGTAGCCTCAAACCACGATATTGTTTGCATACAAGAACATAGGTTTATACATGACGACCTAACCACCATGGTACACTCTCATAGAGAATGGCGTTTGATCACCTGCTCTGCATGGAAAAATAGTGTCAACGCAACTATCGGAGGTGTTGGGATGCTTCTTAGCCCCGCAGCTTACAAGGCACTTGGAAGCATAGAAATGATAACCCCGAGGATAATGATAGCCACCTTCATCGGAAATCCAAAAACAACTGTCATCTCCTGCTACAGTCCAACTAACGTGAGAAACGAACTTGAGGTGGAGCTATTTTATCAAGAACTTACCGCCGTCACCAGACAAGTCCCGAAGCATAATATTCTCATACTCGGTCGCGATTTCAATGCTCATCTTGGACAGGACGACGGATACAAATTCGCTTTCCATATAAGAACAAATAGAAACGGTCATATGCTGAAAGACTTCCTCAATGAAAATAACCTTGTTTGCCTAAATAGGAGTTTCCAGAAAAGAACAGGACAGAAATGGACTAACACCGCTGTGCTGCAAAGCACAACTAGACTATATGATCATAAATCGAAAGTGNGAAAAGACAGAATTCATCTGCTTAAACCAAGATGCCTCAGAAGGCCTGAGCAGTCTTAGTGGCGAAAATCTCAAGCAGGTGGACGATTTCAAGTACTTAGGCAGCTTCATCGCCTCAACCGAACGTGATGTCGATATCAGACTAGCCAAAGCGTGGGGAGCACTAAATCAAATGGGTAACATCTGGAAATCAAATCTACCCGACGATCTAAAAAGGAATTTCTTCAGAGCCACAGTTGGATCTGTCATCACATATGGCTCGATCTCCTGGACCCTTACCACCAGACTGGAGAACAGGCTAGACGGAGCATATACCCGTATGCTTCGCGCTGCGCTAAACAGATCCTCGCGTGATCACCCTACCATCAAAGAGCTATATGGTAACATTCCACCCCTCAGCCAATCTATCAGACGGCACCGACTACGCTTTGCCGGTCACTGCTGGAGCGGCAAACAAGAACTGGCAGGAGACTTGGTCCTCTGGGCGCCCTCCCATGGCAGAAGATCACAAGGCCGCCCAAGAATGACCTATCCAGAACAACTAGCCAACGATATCGGCTRCCYGCCTCAAGAACTTCCCGCTCTGATGAGCAATAAGGATGAGTGGAGTAGAACTGTGTCGAGTATTAGCCGAGCTAGCTCGACACAGTAAGTAGTAAGTAAGTAAGTCAAACATTTTTCTGGAGGACGTCCAGACTACCTTAATTAATTTCTCGCCTTTGGCGGTCGTTAGACCCCAGATCCAAAATGTGTATTCCCTGACATGTGCGTACTAGCCAAAAACTCTACAAAAATGAATAAATCTGCAAAAATACATTCTAAAGAACTAGACAAGAAAATGTACCTTCGCAACATTCAAGCTCTGAGGTTTATAGAAACAATTTTTTGGTCAGCGGCACCGGCTATGGTTGCCACATCGTTGTGTTAGTCCGTATTTATCTGTGTTCATCACTGTTAGCCTCGAGCTAACAGTCCATCATGTGGCCTAATTTTGTTCCTAACGTGCCCCTTGCGGTACTGATGCAGTTTGTTATCAACTTTGCCTCTGCCATGGTAGTTTATGGCCAACAGTGCTTGAGATCATCACAAGTGGTCCGCCATATTGGATCGGCACCGAGTCTCAATCAATCGAGACTTAGTTATTCCTCCACCACGCTGAAATACCTGCGGAAATCAAGCCCAAAAACAACTCTNTGAATTATTTATTCCTCATATATGTATGTATGTAGACTTGTCAAGTGTGTAATTTATCGTTTTCTGACCCGTATCTGTAATTCAGTCTATACTGCAAGAGATACGATTAAACATATCTATCTATCTATCTATCTAATACGGGATTTGCTTTTTGCCGTTTCTAATACAACGCCCAAAATGCTTTGCAAACAGTTCTTTTGTGAGACTCATAGTAGTAGCGTTTATATCACGAGAATATGATGAATCAATAAATACACACATCTATTTTCCAAAAACCGAACCAACAGAAAATTGTTGGCTACGGCCCCGTTGTGTCAGCCAATGAGACAAGTTTGAGACCACCGAAACTGTATACCATTTTTATGTTATTGTTGCATAGAACAGTAATTATGAAATATGAAGTTTTCACTTTCTCATGCTTACCATCTGATAAAACAAGTATTTTTGTTATTGAAATTTCTCCTCTGAAATTTCCTTTGAAGAATGCTTTGCCAGTCACAAAGTTCTTACAAACGAGCTGGTAACTTTGAGGATCCATTTGTTGACGATAACGTAGACTTGCCAGAAATTTCATGGACGATAGAACAGTGATAGGCTCTTCTTTTCTAGACTTTAGTGTTGAAACCATCATGGGAACAACAGTTTTGGGTGGGCCGAAACAGCATCTTTCAAGGCTTTGTTCAACAAATAGTTTCTCTGTTGAAGTTTTACTGTCTTTCAGCTCATCTACGTACAAACACAGGGATCCGCATGCTACCTTTCTTGTGGCTATAAAGGAAGATGTTAGAAATAAAATAAAAATTTACTCTTTATTATCTCTTCATGCTGTATGAAGGAAGATAATGTAAGATTCGATCTTAAAACTGACAGATGGAAACGGATTTCGAATGGATATTCGGAGTCGGCACCTCGTTTGCCATCTATGAAGATGATTCTGAAACACGACAAATCTCACCGTGTGAGGAATTGGGCAATCGCATTTGGTAGTGAGAGGCCACGTAATGGCAGTAATTTTGTCCCACAAAGCTCCCACAAAAATGCAAAAGTCGGACCGGAGGGCGAAGGTGAGAGGTTAGTATTGCTGGATGGGGTAATTTTTTAAAGCAGATGAGCGCTTCCCAGCCAAGTTAAATGGAGGACGATTCATTCTGTTTGCCCAAGCCAGAAACAAATCTATAAAAATACTCTGCACGTAAAAAAACAAATTACCTACCATCATCTTTATTCGTCATGACAATGTTTTCCAGAACACATCCAAGGTGGAGCCCWGTTTGCCACTGTGCTTCGTCAGACCATTTAAACCAACGTAATGGATTTCTTGACTTTTTGGAGTTGCAATATTTCTYCAMCATWRAGARGAGGATYTCGACCACCTTCGGTCTTTCGTGTATCTAAAGAAATATATATTTTTGACAGGACATTATAAATGTATATTATGTATTACAGAATGTTCAATTGTTCCTTCAAAGTTCCTTCCATTTCATCAGATATGAAGGACACGGATGCAAATCCTCTTTCCTTTAAGAGTCATGTTCAAACTGCATCCTCTACGACCTTATGCATATTTTTAAAAATATAAATACATCAAAGGATAAGCAAAAACGTACTCTTTATCATCCCTTTATGCTCTATAAACGGAGAATGTTATACGTGAATGGAAAAATGTCAATGGAATGTGATTGTGAAAATCTAAAATTCGATCGCATATCAAATGGCTGGTAAGTATGGCCCTTTAAATTTACTCCGAAAAAGGATACATACAGAAATAGATTGTGTAATCAACTTTTTCACTCACCTTTGGTTCCAGACAAGAGACCACAACATGGAAGTCAAACCAGCCTGTTTTGTTTTCTGTAACTTTTCCGATATATTCCTTGAGGAATTTGTCTCTTTCCGTAAAATCCACCGTGTCATCTTGATAGTAGCCGTGTAACCTGTTACAAAAGGTTCAACATCAGTTAACGAAAGCGAATGAAAAACATTAAGCACAACTTTGATGGGTTGATGGATCGGTTGAAACTTCGGCAAAGTCGGCCGCTAACCTAGGTTCTCCCTCCCCAACTTGGGTGGGGTTGTGCCGCAAGACCCTCAAAACCCTTACCCTGTCACAGACCAATTTTTGTGAATTTAAATACCCTAACCCAGACTAAAGGAACAAAGGTACATTATTTTAGCGCTGAAAGCGTGGCCTAGCAGATACAATCACAGGCAAAACTCCACCCCAGACAATGAGGCTATACCCTATCCTAGACAAAAAAAACTACCCTATCCCAGACAAAAAGACTACCCTATATAAGACAAATGAGCAAAAATGATACCCTATCCCAGACTTGGAGCTCCGAAAAATGGACCCTATCGAGCGGCACATACCCGTATTGCAAATATAGGGGAGTACCGAGGTGCAGCAAAATGTCAAAAGCTCGAGGTCGCGTCATGCAAGGGTTTTCACTGTAAATGTCTTTATAACTAGATTTCTTTGATTCCAAATACCATTTACAGTTAACGTTCCCTAATACTTGGTTGTTAATTTGAGTCACTCGTTTTTTTTATGGCAGTGTGCTTTCCTAGAGACTTAGTTCTTATTGTTTTTGAACCTCGTCTAATGGGAAGTTTATTTTAAATGCCTACCAATCTAAAAAGCGRCAAAATTGCTTTTGWTGGTTCGAMTTCTTCARCGTTTCGATGCTTTGATGAATACACGCCACTGCATATCGCGGTTTCTTTTTTTCTCGGAAGGRTGTTTGCTTRTTWAGCCCATATAGCTTTTTATGGAGGAGGACAACACTCTCCAAGCTATTCCATGCTTCAGTTCGCATTTTTCCTTGTTTRATAAGAACAACTACCATTATCAAAACTCGACTGTACACAAATGCTCTAAATCCCTGAAACTCCAGAGGCTCTACATCGAAGATTGCATCTTCTGCAATGATGCTGTTCCTCAATACATTTTCCATTTCGAATATAAAAGTTTGAATTTTCTCATCTGCGTCACATGGCCTTTTAACAAGTACATTTAAGACCAAATGAAGTGCAGATCTATTTACAAGTGAGTCATTTAAACAGCATAGATGGGRGAGCARCTTGAGRATTTCAGGTGAAGCGAAACCATTTGCTTCGAGTACTTCTTCCATGAAAGGAAGTACGGCATGGAGTAGAAACTTTCTCAGTGTYTCCTTCTCTTCTGAGGTAGATCCATGATATTTTGTTAATTCTTGTTGGTAGTTCTTTATAAAAGCATCGGGACTACGTTCATACTCTGTAAAAGAGAGCAAATCTGAATATCACTGGAAAAAATCGCACGCTTTAAAGGTTGTAAATTTGATGTAAATGATTTCCATTAAATTTACAGAATTTTGGACACTTACATCATATTTACATCAAATTTACAAACTTTAAAGTGTGCGATTCCTTCAAAACAAGAGTGTTAATTCCATGATTGTTTTAGTATCCGATATTATCCAACTTAACGGGTACATAAAAACTCTACAAAGAAATGGAATCTGACAGTGCATTTTACTATGTTTACGATAGCCATATAGACAGCTATATCAAGAAATCTAGAGTGTGTGAAGTGAAATTTTGTAGAGAGTCATAGTTGGTTTACCTGGTGGATAGTAAGAAATGCCGTTTACTTCTCTTGGTGTCCATGGGCTATTTGAAATAGCTCTAGATGGACGTACTTCTGTAAATGATTGAATATACTGAGTATTGTGATGATTTAGAATTGTTCATGAATTAGCACCATTTCCTGGCAATCCATTAGTCCATCAAGTCATAAATCCATCAATCCACTATCCTCGAGCCGTATTTCCATCAATGCAACAATCCGTCATTCACTCCATCAATCCAATAGTCCATCAGTCCACAATTCCATAAAGCAATAAATCTAGCAATATATCATTCCAACAATCGATTTATCACATCGACCATCAATGCTATAAATTCATCGAATCAATATTTTATCGAGTGGCATTTTATTTTTGTTTTGCTCAATCCATCTATCCATCGGTCCATAAATCAATATTTTATTGCGGAACTGTTTATTTCTGTTTTGTAATTTACCTGGTCTTTCGACGTTGTTAAAGTAAGTTGCCATTGTCGTCAGATTGATCTATAATTAAATTAAAGTAGACATAGTGTAATATATAATGAATCATTTGGTCTGCGTCAGGACTTATCTATGATTGACGACCTGTCGACTCGGTGGATATTTATCACGTAAAAAAGGCTATTATCATAATATTACTAAGATTAAAAATGATACGATTGGTTTTTTTTCCTGCTCTTTCATAGTGCACTTAGTCGGGCTAGCCGTAGGCTGCCCGGATTTAGTTCTACCTTTTTGCCAATCTATGCATCTATGCATTATGTCGCGTTTGGACCAACAGAATTTAAGAATTCGAGAGTTTGAACCGTAAGTGTTTAAAGATCAACTATTAGTCTGGCTGTGCTATTTCCAAACATGCCCGGGAGCTCAAATGTTATAGATGTGCAGTACGAACATCGTTACTAATCGTTTAAAACAACTTGCGCTTTTATGTGATCATAAAGCTATTCGTTTACAAATGTGATATCTGTGATCTCATCGGAATGCATTTCTGTTCATCAGAAGCACGCGCATGTGCAGATCTCATACAGCTTTGAGTAGTATGCTTACGAAACTGAATCAATGACCTTTCTAGCTTTAGATGTGTCTTGTGCGTGCAAAGATTTCAAATTAGAACTAGAAGAAACTTTGTTTATAATTAACAAAAAGGCGACTTAGATTATTTTATAAGCATTTTTTTATTCATTTCTTGCCCTGAGATGTCAATGTTAACTAGACGATCATGGATCGCTTACGTGGCCTTCTTGGACCTGCGACAATGGATCAGCTGCCGCAATTGAGGCTTTCGGCCGATAATCACCATAGGAAGCCTGGAGCCGACCTCTCTTCTCAATAGTCTGGTAAGCCTGTGCTGTTTCGGGGATTTTTTCGATACATTTGAAAACAACGGCTCATTTAGTAAATCGAACTTTTAAGTGTGACAAGAAACCAAAGGTGCTCGAAATAGAACGTTTAATATAATCTGAAATCTTTTTTAGATTGTTGACAAAGTTTTAAGATAATCTTTCTTTACTTAGATACTGTTTTAATTTGGGGATTTTTTCTATACATTTGAAAACTATCGCTCATTTAGTCCATTGAAGTTTAGCGGCTACCGCTCATATAGCCACTTCGTATGTTTAATGATGATGTGTTTAATGCTCCTAGGGGTTCTCGAGCACTTCAGAACGTCGTATTCAAATCAAGTTTTGATCATTTGATTGATTGATTTTGAGCTATTTTGCCCATCGATCCAATAAATAATTGCAAATCATCACAAATCATCTATGAATATGTGATTTTTACCATCTTTTGCATGAARTTTTAACTGTACTCGTAGTAAAGAAAAGCTGAATTATTCACCTGGTTAMTTACTTTTGCACACAAAACATTCTAAAATTCTGTCACAGCAAGAGCTTTCCCAATCAGTGCAAAACATCTAGTAGATTATGACGATAGATAAGAACCGGAAATAACGTCAATTGTATAGGATTTCTTTATATAAATTATCAATATTCCATTGATTTCGCCACTGCACTGCACAGTCTGAAAGAATTTGTTTAGGCCTTTTTTATTAAATCTAGGCATTTCAAACGATGGAAAACTAGGAATACACTCTCGATTCACATGCAATGAACTACATCGATGCTTCATACCGAATTATCAAACTCATTAATAATTCATAATGTTATTAGCCAACGACATACTGAGAATCTAATCACGTGATTATACCTTTATACTGGACAAAACGTGCAGCAGCCTCAAAGTTGGGGGCGGCTTTGAATATTTTCAGGGGAGTGTGGGGCTGATTATTATTCAACGTTTTCCTGATACAGAACTAATTAATAAAACATTAGTTCTGTCTCAATGATACAGAACTAATGTTTTATTAATTAGGTCTGTATCAGGAAAACGTTGAATAATAATCAGCCCCGCACTCCCCTGAAAATATTCAAAATGTCTAAACTCGCGTGCAATCAAACACAAAAAAAAAACACACTGAAAAATCAATGTCGTTGCTATGTTCGTTTCCTCGTGATTTACTCGATCGTCAGATAAGCTTCGCCGTTTTTCTTCGCGCCCCGTCTTGTATGAATTTGACCATCCAAAAAATCAACGACTCGGCGTTCATGTCATCAAGACTAGTGTCAGCATCTTGGAATGACTCGCTGTTTTTGAAACTGAAACTGGTGCTCCCATTTATGGCTTTCTTGYTCACACGGTCTTTTTGCCAGTCGCAAAATAAGGTTGCGGCCCATTTTGTTGAATACTTTGTGGAACACTCGCCCAAACAATCTGAAACAATAGCGCTTTCTTCTATGTTCGACATGTCTTCGAGGGAGAAATGGAAGCCAACTGATTTAATTTTTGTTAACTATGAATGCCTAATATCTTGCAATTCCTTTGAGAATTCTAATTTTCCATAGTTTGGCAAGCACATTCTTTAAAAAAACAATAGGAAAATGAACAATTTTCAGGAGTAAGTAATAAAAGCTTCATCTGCAAAATCGAACTTTCAATCAATCATTTAGAAATTCCCTTGATAATTCAGTCGTTTCATGAAACAATGGCACCATACAAACAGTTATATTTGACGAATATTTAATAACGGCGACATACGTTACCGCTGATAATCGATGAATGCAGCAAGATATTCGATCAATTTTTCAAAAACATAATGTGAATTATTATAAAGTTTGATAAGCCGTATACAGAACTCGAGAGCGTGTTGTATCGCCTTCGGCTCGGATCTTTATCACCCGATACAACACGCTCTCTCGTTCTGTATACATTACTTATCAAACTCATTAATAATTCATAATGTCATTAGCCAATGACATACTGAGAATCTAATCACGTGATTATACCTTTATATTGGACAAAACGTGCAGCAACCTCAAAGTTGGGGGCGGCTTTGAATATTTTCAGGGGAGTGTGGGGCTGATTATTATTCAACGTTTTCCTGATATAGAACTACTGGGTGATTGATTTGCGACCAGGCCTGCATATGAATTCACCAAGGTTGTAAGCCAGTGAGCCCGTGCATTTTTGTTAAGCGGTCATATTTGAAAGTGTAAATAAAGGAAAGGGAAAACCCGCAGCTCTCCTTTCACTCAGACAAACAGTACAAGTCGTGTTAAATTTCTTTACAAAACTAAACAAAATAATTATAGAATGAATGCTCATATCAAACATTTTCCACCTTAAATACACACGTGTTTTTCAGAAGGGAATTTAGTCGAACTTTTTTCACGATGGAATTTTATTTTTAGTCGTTTCAACATAAACAGTTGCTATCAAGACTTTACACGAAAAACCCTAGTCACCGTTCTAGCTCTCGTTGTAAGGTCAAAGCTAGCCTAGCTTACTGAGTAAATATGTAACCGACCTGGTACTAACGTCAACCTGTTGTATCGTCGAGCACGCTTGCGGCTTATTGCCAAAAATGCGACAAAGAATGAACTACGACAGTTGTCACTAGCAAAAATAACAAACGCTTTAACTCTATTGGAATACGTGGAGCTAAGCTGCTCTAGCTCTTTCAGCGATGTTGTCGAATACCTCAAAGCTTAGAGGAAACAAGAGCTAAGAAAAAGGATTTGCAATGGTTTCTCCTTGGACTTGAACGTCGCTTCAACGACCTTCTGAAGTCTTCGTGAAGTCGGCCATTGCTTCACATGCAATGGAGAACCCGCGTAGAACACTGACCAATTATTTTTATCAGGGAGGGGAGTCTCTTGGTATTAAAGAAAAAATTATTTGTTATTTCATTTTTAAGATAAAATT